TGGGATTGGGGTTGAACAGTAGAGTGCTCACCTAGCACATGAGAAGCCCTGGGTTTGATCCTCAGCACCACATAAAAATAAAATAAAAGATGTTGTGTCTGCCGAAAACTAAAAAATAAATATTAAAAAATTCTCTATTTAAAAAAATATAAATAAATAAAATAAAGGTATTGTGTCCAACTACAACTAAAAATAATATTTAAAAAAAAACTTTGTGTATGTATGTGTGTGTGTTTAATACTGGGGATTGAATTCAGGGCTTAGTACATGCTAGGCAAGCACCCTATCACTAAGCTAATACCTCCAGCCCTTTTTAAATTTTGAGACAGTTTCAATAAATTGCCCAGACTGGCCTCATACTGGATATCCTCCTGTCTCAGTCTCCTGAGTTGTTGGGATTACAGGCAGGTGTCACATACTCAGCCTTAAACACTTTCTTAAGGCCCTAAGTGGCAGAGCAGGGACTAGAATTCAGAATGTTCCAAATCCAAAGTCCAGTCCCATCCTGTACCATGGTGGATTTGTAAAGAACCTAGGCTGGGGGCTGGGGGTGCAGCTCAGTGGTAGAGTGCTTGTCTGTCATGCATGAGGCCCTGGGTTCAGCACCCAGCACAAAAACAAAAACAAAACCCAGAATCTCGGGTGGATTTGGATACCGAGGCCAAAATACTCAAGTTACAATAAAATTTTGTGAACCCTAAATCATGGGCTATGGACATTATCAATCAAATATATAACTCTTAGAGGAGAACTTTATATAAATTCAATTCAAAATAAAGGCAATTATGAGAAAATAAAAATAAAAGATCATATTTGTAAAATAGCTATTGCTGGAGTTGGTTGCAAAAATGCTTTTTGAAGGCAACTTTAATACAAAATTGTGATTGTGCAAGGTACCTCACCTGTGATTATGTTATCAACCAATGGCTACAGAGAGATAGTGGAGAAAAAGGAGAAATGGATTGACTTCCAAAATAAGTAGACATGGGCGTGTCTCAAGGGTTGCCTAACATTGACTCCCTGTTCCCAAGACATGGGTGGAGTCCATGCTTGTGGCTCCAGGAGGAGGAGGGAAAATGCTTTTCCAACAAAAGCTTTCTAAAGGGACAATACAACCTTAGGTAATTTCTTTCAAACAATGTCTTTTCTTCTCAGTTCAAGCAGATTTGGTGTTCTCATCCCTGGAATAGCATAGGCCCCAGGAAAGCAAAATATCCCACACTTATTGAGTGAATGGAACAATGCCCTGATTAGTTAAATATGCTTGGGGAGAAAGAGCTTTTCTGTTAGTTTTTTTTTTTTTTTTTTTTGAGCCCTGATTTAGTTATGTTGCAAATGGTGGGAGCCAACACTGAAAGAAAGCATCTTTTTCTCTGGAAGGGGATGTACTCAGATCCCAGAGCTCCCAGAAATGAGGAAAGCCATATTCAAGGACCTTCTCTATCTTCAACCTTCCACTGGGAAATGAGGGACTTGAGGCAGATAGTCTTAGAGAACCAGGCTACCAACTCCCTGCTCCATCCCAGGCTGCCCCTCCGCCCCTCTGCTGAGTCACAATCTCAGTGGGATTGCAATTATGATGAATTGTTTTTACTTTATTCTAACCACCACTGCTTTAAAAAAAAGAGTCATTTAAAAAACTTGTTTCATATAAAAATTCCTAGCTCCATTTTTATTTGCCTTTTGATTTCATATTTTTGGTACTGGGGAATGAACCCAAGGACACTTTACCACTGAGCCACATCCCCAGGCCTTTTTTTTTTTTTTTGAGAAAGGGTCTAAGTCGCTGAGGCTGGCTTCAAACTTGTGATCTTCCTGTCTCAGCCTCCTAATTCACTGGGATTATAGGCATGCACCACCAAGCCCAGCTTGATAAATGTTTTCAAAGTAATTTATTTCTTGAAGTTCTTTTTTAAAGTAATCTGTAATAACTATTCATTTATTTAGCTGCAGTAGAGAACACTGCTTTTATATATTTTATCCTTACCCAGATATATTTCGTATGTTTTCTGTACAAAACATATACTGTCTATTCTGAGCCAGTATATATTTGTTCTATACAAAATAGCATGGTTAGATTGTGAATATACTTATCCAGAATTATGAAAAATTGTATAATTATATCTTTAAATTATCAATACAAAATTTTCCAGGAACACAGTCCAATTGGGATTCATCTAGAAGAGTTGCCAGCACAAACCTATAAATATAGACTGGGGAGATATGCAGATTTAAATTAAAGGGCGTCTGTTTGGTACTGGAAAACACTACAGAGGTGAACTAAAGAAAGAAGTTTTTGAGGAAAGACCAGAATTTGCAGGTTTCCCAATAGCAAAGAAAACTCCTTTCTTGCCAGGTGCTGGGTGCACACCTATAATTCCAGCAACTTGGGAGCATTGCAAGTTCAAGGCCAGCTTCAGCAACTTATCAAGGTCCTAATCAATATAGCAAGACCCTGTCTCAAAATAAAAAATAAAAAAGGCTGGGATGTAGGGCTGGGGATACAGCTCAAGTGGTAACGCACTCGCCTGGCATGCGCGGGGCACTGGGTTCGATCCGATCCTCAGCACCACATAAAAATAAAATAAAGATGTTGTGTCCACCGAAAACTGAAAAATAAATATTAAAAAAAATTCTCTCTCCTCTCTCTCTCTCTCTCTCTCTTGAAAAAAAAAAAAAAGGCTGGGATATAGCTCTGTGGTTAAGCACCCTGGGGGGGGGGGGAGGAGGAGAAGGAGGAGGAGGAGGAGAAGGAGGAGGAGGTGGAGGAGGAGGAGGAGGAGAAGGAGGAGGAGGAAGAGGAGGAGGAACAACTTCTCTGAAGCAAGAAACCATAAAACTCAAATCAAGGGGCTGGGGATGTGGCTCAAGCTGTATCGCACTCGCCTGGCATGCGTGCGGCCGGGCTCGATCCTCAGCACCACATACAAACAAAGATGTTGTGTCCGCCGAAAAACTAAAAAATAAATATTAAAAAAAAAAAAATTCTCTCTCTCACTCTCTTAAAAAAAAAAAAAAAACCTCAAATCAAAACCCTCAGTTCCAGATTAACAGAAACTAACAAGGCATAATAATTAAACAAAATACATAATCTCAGGTGGAGATGGAGGAAAACCTGAAATTGGTGATTGTACTTTGGTTATGTAAGAGAATGTCCTTGTTCTTAGAAAATACAAGTAAAGGGTTAGAATGTTTGCAACTAAATCACAAATGACTAGGGTCGGGGGAGACAGAGGGAATTAAAATAAGATATGTCAAAGTGTTAAAAATTTGGTGCACAGTATAAGGGAATTCTTGGCACTCTTCTTCCAATTCTTATGTTCCAGAATAAGAAGTTAAAAAACATGCCTTCTAGGGCTTGGGTTGTGGCCTAGTGGTAGAGCACTTGCCCCGCACATGTGAGGTACTGGGTTTGATCTTCAGCACTACATAAAAATAAATAAATAAAGATATTGTGTCCATCTATAACTAGAAAAAAATATATACATTTAAAAAAATTGCGTTTTCAAAGCTTCTCTCACCCCATCTGTAGTTGAGAACTTTGATAACATGACTACATCAAAATATTAAGAAATTCTTGCTGGACATGATGGTACAATTTGTAATCCCAGTGAGGCTGAGGCAGGAGGATTACAAATTTAAGGCCAGCTCAGCAACTTAGCAAGTTGCCTAAGTAACTTAGTGAGACCCTGTCTCAAAAAATCAAAAGGGCTGGGGATGTGGCTCAGTGGTTAAATGCCCTTGAGTTGAATCCCTGATACCAGAACAAAAATAAAAACAAAAAAAAAACCTTCCATCTGCAAACCTTCGACTCAAGAACTTCTCTAAGTACAAAATAACCTTATAAAGCAGAAGCCTCACCAGCATCTGCCTCCAGAAAATAGTCCTAGAGTAATGTAATTTTTGAACCTGGCTTCATTGTAGCATCACCTGGAAACTTTAAAGGCGGGGGGCTGGAGGTGTTCTGTGATCTACTATGATCCTTTAAATTAAACTCTTTGGAGCCCAACTCACACATATTTCTATCTGTGGCCAGGTCGAGAGCCTCTGTATTAGAGGGGTACATGATCTACTTAGCAACCCACTCATGACTTTGGCATTTACAACTACACAAGTTGGACCAGCCCTTCAGAAAGCAGAGAGATCAAGTAGACATCAGATGCTCCAGTGAGAAGCTACAGACATTTGCTAACTTCCCACCCAGCTCTTAGGGAGACTCCTGCCCTTCCTGGAAGTAATATTCCTAGGATAGAGAGAGCAAATACAGGGAAGTGCTGTCCCTTCATTGCTTTACACAGATTTGCAAGGAAGGGAGGGCAGTCCAGCTTGGTCACCCTGTTAGGCTTTGATATTCAGCCTTGTTCTTCCAGGATACCAGCAGAGGGCGCTACATACCCAGCTAATGGACGCAGCTGCACCTAAGCACTAGGAGATGGAAACAGGTGGAAATGCTGAATCACCCAGCTGAGTGAGGCTGTGAAGACTGAATCATGCCTTTATCATGTCATGATCTGATTACTTCTCTATATTTCCCACTGGACTATGAGCTCAGACTGTGTCTGATTTATCTTCTGTCTGCAGTCTTGCAGGTGCAGGACACAGCAGGGCTGGGCAAATATTAACTGTTGTTGCTATTTCTGGCACCTGACAAATGAGTATTCACCATAAGTGAACAGATGTTAGTTAGCCTCACTGGGACTCTCAAGAAGCCAGAGGTCCCTCTCCCCTCCCTGCCAGGCCTCTTGCAGGTTGCTTTTGCATTTTTGCATCTCAGGCCAGGCTCATGGCTAATAAGACTTTTTTTTTAATACCCTTCCTTCATGGAGGGAGACCCCAATAAATCAGGTTGTAAGAAATCCATGGTCCCTCTGCATCCCACTTATCCCTTCCCAAGTCCTAGAACATCTGTCACCAGCAGGTGGGGCTTCAAGCCTCTCACCACCCACAACCTAGAAAGAGCTTGCAAGGCCTTGGGCCCAGACAACGGGCTGGAGACTCACACTCCAGCTGGCACCAGCGGCTGGAACTTCCACTGTTCCTCCTCACAGTCCAGGAAGAGCCGGTTCATGATCTTGTTCTTTTCCTCAGGGGGAATGAAGTTCTCGATTATTAGGTACCTGGGAGTGGGAGTAAGGAAGAGATGAGAAATGGGGTCAGGGAGAGTGCCCGTGGTGCTGGAAAGGCTGAAGGATTAGAAACAATAAATCAAGAGGCAGAGGGAACTGCGGTGTGTGTGCGCATGTGTGCACACGCGCAAAACCCAAGGTGGGGGAATAGGGATCCCTCCAATCCCCCCAGAATAAAATGAAGCTTGAAAACTACCGCTTCTAATACAAAGACTGTGGGCCCAGAGACTTTAGGGTTACTCTTAACCAACACTAGCATGCCACACGGCTGCAGGGTGGGGGGTGTCCTCAAATTCAAACTGAGTCCTGGCATGCACGCCTGTAACCCCAACTACGAGGGAGATGGAGGCAGGAGGATCACAAGTTCAAGGTTAACCTGGGAAATTCAGGGAGACCCTGTCTCAAAATAAAAATTTTAAAAAAGGGCTAGGGATATAGCTCAATGGTAACAGGGCTCCCCACCCCCACCTCCCAAAAAAATCAAACTGAGGAAGTAGAAGAAAACTCCAGAATTATTAGGCCTGTCCTGCGTCAAACACGGTCTATTCCTGAGACATGGAATCATGGGTGAGCAGACAGTCAGACTAGGCCTTAGGGAAGAAGAGTCAGGGAGACCCTGAGGATGAGCGTGGCTGTGGAGACCTGGGGGCAGAAAAGGACCCGGCCCTACTTGAGCTTGAGTTCCCGGGTCTGCTCGTTCTGCGCCTCCTCCAGGTCCTGCCGCACGCGGATGTACTCATCATGTTGGTCCTGGATCTCCGCCTTCACCGCCTGCAGCTTGGCGTAGAGCTGGTTGGGGACAGGTACAGTTCAGAAGCTGCCCAGTGTGGCAGTGAGGCCCCAGTCACCCAGCCTGGCCCTGAGGGCTGCTGGCTCAGGACCCACCTGCTCAGCTGGCAGTGAGGCTGGGATCCTGGCCTGAACTTCCCGGTGCTGCCTCATTCCCGTGAATCAGACGGGCTATTTAAAGGGCCTTTGTGTTCCCTTTGCTGAGGCCTGCCGTGATTACCTGCTCTTTCTTAGCCGCTTTAAGCATCATGGAATGTTCACATTGGAAACCTGAGGGACCTTTTGGTCTAACAACCTCTTTTGAATGGAGGAGGAAGCTGAGGCACAGACTAGCAAAAAGGTCACACAATTATTCAATGGAAGAGCTAGGACCCCATCTCATTGGAGAACCAGGGTTGGGTTGGAAGCTGAGCAAGTTGGGAAGGTGACTGGTTCCCACTTTCCAGGGGTCCCCAAAAGTTGCAGCAGGATGTGGAGGTTGGCATTGGCCCTCATGTTCCATTCCTAAGCCACTGAGCATGTCCATGACAACTTCCCAGGTAGTGGTGTGGCTAGGCCTCTCCTGGCCAGCTCTGGGACAGCCACATCAAAAACCCTGGGAGCTCCCAAGTGCTTCCCAGAATCCAAGTGGGAGTTTGCTACTTCTTGCCCTAGACCTCCATCTTATGTACACATCTTTCCCCTGCCATGAACTTTGAAAGATCCTGGTGACCAGAGATTCTTATCACTTGACATGGTATAAAGGGCCTTGGCTCCCTTTCTAGGCTTCCACAGGCTTAATTCTTTCTCAGGTCTCTTTACGCTCTCTAGTCCTTCTCCAGATCCAGCTATCCAAACTGATTCACCGATGACATTGTAAGGGAGGATGTTACCAAGGACTCTGAGTATGGCACACTGGAGACTAAAAGTGACAGCTTACAGCCTATGAACCCTGCCCAACAACTTGGTCCAGGAGAAAAGTATCTATTCCACCCCACGCCAGACTCCTGTCTCCTCCCTGCTCCTCACTCCACTGGCCCAGGCTATACAGCTCAGGGTTCAGTAGTTCATGTAAAAGTGGGAGGACTCCTTGAAGTACCACCCCTTGGGCAGGTGACTGTCTTGGGCAGAGGCTCTTGGGCCCACAGCACTTTTTTTTTTAATAGTTTTTTAGTTGTAGATGGACATAATATCTTTATTTATTTACTTATTATTATGTGGTGCTGAGGATCGAACCTAGTTCCTCACACGTGCAAGGCAGGCATTCTACCACTGAGCTACAGTCCCAGCCCTCTCAGCACATCTTGATCCCATCCTGCTACAGCATCTCACCTTCTTGAGTTTCTTGGTTTTGACCTCCACCTCCTGCTGCAGGGAGGTGTAAGTACCCCGGAGCTCCATGGTCTCCTCATCTCGGAGCATCATCTCCTGCTGCATTTCGCGTTCACGACGTTTCTAGGCCAAGGAAGGGCAAGGGGACTTCAATGGGACAGCATGTACTGGGCAAGGGCCAAGGAAGCTCAGGGGACTGGCTCATTCTGTCATGGAAACTGACTTCACCATAACCCCGAGTGCCAGGAGGGAAAAGGGGACATTCTACGACCCATGTCCACTGTTCCCACCCATGGAGCAGTGGACCTCGAGGTCTCCTCAGCTGCCATGGCCATGCCTTTGCAAGCACTGCCCCCAGTGGATGGAGACCCCAGCCTTAACAGCTGGCCTACTCCAGGGGTATTACCCACATACACAGATGCCCGTCACACTGACTTCCAAGCCATCTCTCACTTGTCCTACATAGTGTCACTATTGATTGGTAATCAACAAATTGTGCTTCTTGAGGACGTAGGAAATGGTACACAGTTGGCAATGAATTCACAGCCTTGTGGAAGGTCCAGGAGTTCCTTCCAAGTTCCTTGTGGAGGCTGACATCATAGAGTCCTCCACTTCTCATCTACCAGCTAGCAGTGCCCTGAAGACCTCTGGCTGGCAGACCCATGAGACCCAGAGTGGCATGTCTTAGATTCTCAGCACTATGTTTTCCAGGGACCTTAGAGCATTACAGTTTATGAACTCACCTCCAAACCCCAGGCATTACCTCAAGGACATGTACCCCAAGGGGCCCTGAAGACGGGTCACCCTACCTGTTCAGCAATCTCCTGCCTCTTCAGTTCCAACATCTTCTGCTGCTCATTGGTGTGATCCATAATGTTTCTGCCACCGATCAGCAGCTTGCTCTCCATGGCCTGAGGACACAGAGAGGGTTCAGAGATAGGCTTTGCAGGGGGCCACAGCATCCTCAGCTCAGACATTATTCTTCCCTGCTATGTAATCCTTCTAGGAGTGAACACAAGATGTGTCCAAGATAGGGCCTTGTGGACCTCAATGAGAATAGAGTTTTCCCCTCCGGCTTCTTGAGCCCTAGCACAAGGCTCCCATTGTTGACAAGACCATTAGGGAGGCAAAGAGAGGAAGCCCCTCAGGGAATACAGGGCACCTGATCTATTTGCTTTGGATACAGAATGAAGGTTGGTTCACAGAGCCTGCAAGGAGGGTGGGTAGCAACCAGGCCCCACATGGTATTCAGGAGGGGGAGATAAAAGCGAGTCACTGGGCAGCCCAGCCCTTGCACTAAATGGCTCCTGACTCAGAAAGACAGCTCTCTCCGTGGACAGGAAGAAAGGGTCTCATCTTTGATGTGGAAAGTAGAAGCAAAATCCCAGGGAGAGATTCTGCAGCAACAGGCAGAAAAATGGGGCCCCAGAGGCAGGGAGCACTTTGGAGACAGCTTGAAAGACTTGGGCTCTACCCACGAGGCTGGAAGCCATGGGCGAGTTACTCTACTGAGTTCCTGTCTATAGTGTTGGAACCACGCCACATTCATTCCAGAATGGCTCAGATGTAAGGAAAGCACTATTTGGTAGGTTCTGAACTAAGCCCTCAACAGCCGAGATCTCCATCATCTTCTAAGGGGACTGACTATTCCTCTACTTATTTAACAAGTGAAGATGTTGAGAACAACCAGCCTGAGGTAACGCAGGTGAGATTTGAACCCACAATCCCAGCCTCACTGAGAGCAAAAGGTCCCAACGAGTGCTTGGCACAGGCCTACAGGAGGTATTTCTGGAACTGGAAGCTGAATTAATAATGGATTTGTATAAATCATGACTCCATAAAATGCTCTGTCACTACTGCCAATAAGAGGGTGCTGTCCCAGAGCAGCCAGCTGTCCTCTGATTTCATCGCAGGCCTTCCGGAAGGTTGAAATCACCTTGAGCCACCAGAAGAAACTGGCTGTCTACCCACTGGAATTTTTCCCAGTGGAACCAGCTGACCTCCTGAGGGCTCTCAAAGCAGAGGTTGCTGTCAGACTGAGGAAGTAGGCAGCCACCTGTGAGAGCCCCATCCCTGAGGACAGAGCAGAAGACGGGTTAAGGGATGCTTTGGGAAGGTCAGACACTTGAACTGGGCCAGTCAGAGAAGCACGAGGACACCAGCCTGCATATTCTCTGAGGCCAAGGAGAAAGGAAGGGGCTCTCGAATGCCAGCTGTCCTTACTGCCACACCACAGCCACCTGTGCCCCTGGTTAATGGTCTCACCATCTACCCATCACCACATCACTGACATAACTCATCTTGATGCCTTATTTATTTATTTATTTGTCATAGGTGGACACGTTGTCTTTATTTTACTTTATGTGGTGCTGAGGATTGAACCCAGTGCTTCACGCATGCTAGGCAAGTGCTCTACCTCTAAGCCACAACCCTAGCCCTTGATGCCTTCTTTTTGTTTGTTTGTAGTACTAGGAATTGAACCCAGGAATGCTCTACTACTGAGCTATATTCCCAGTCCTTTTTTTTAATAATTTTTTTATTTTAGTTATAGATGGACATAATACCTTTATTTATTTATTTTTATGCAGTGTTGAGGATCAAATCAAATGTGTCACACGTGCTAGGCAAGCACTCTACCACTGAGCTACAACCCCAGCCTCCCAGTCCTTTTTTATTTTATTTTTTTGAGACAGGGTCTAAGTTGTTGAGGCTGGCCTGAAACTTGGCAATCCTCCTGGCTCAGCCTCCTAAGTCACTAGGATTACAGTCATGCACCACCAATGCCTGGTTTCTTGACTCCTTCTTGTTCAGGGTTGCATTTACACGACCCTGAGAGTGACTCCTGAAATTCGGCACCTTTGGCAGTTTACCTCCCTCAGCTAATCCCCACTGTGCATCTCATCCCCATCATCTGGCCAGTCGTTAAACACCATCAGATCTGTTTCTTGGTGTAGCCCATGCGACTCCTTCCTTTTGTCCTCATAACACCTGCTGACTTCCTTGCAACCCTTCTGATTCACCTAGACCACTGCTATGGGCTCCCCACTGCCTCAGTTTCCCTTTCCGTCCAGCCTCACATGATACCCTCTGGAATCCTCCGAAAACACAAGTCTGAACGGATGCTCTTCTGCTTCAAACGACTCCGTGGGTCTTCATTCCCTAGAGGAGGGCATCAAGGTCTGTAGCTGCCACAGGCCCCAGGTGTTGGCTCAGCTTCTTACTCTCCGCTGACCACGGAGGCTCTGCGCTCCGGTTTGCCGAAGAATTCTAGCTCCTGCGATATGCTGTGGCTTCCCCCAAATTTCACAAGGTTCTTCCTCCCACTCCATATCCACCTGGAAAACTGCCACTTGTCCTGCAAGACTCAGCTTGAGCATCCCGGGAAACTTTCCTTGATCCCCTCAAAGCTGTTCCTTTAGGCCTCCTCAATAACCAGGACATGTTCCTACTATTTTCCCACAAGAGAACCATTATGTGTCTACATCTTGTCTCTGCTGTGATTCCTTCAAGACAGGAATCATGTATCACTCATTCCTCAAGGTCCCTGGGTCTTATCACAGATTGGCACATGGCAAGTACTCAATAGGCATTTGATGAACTGAATGGAATCCTCCATGGGGACTCAGATGGGTTCCAGGTCCTCTTTTTCTCTTTCTTCTTTTGACTTATTGAGAACAGACAGGGGCTATATCCCAGCTGCTCCTGTGATCGATCAACCTATATTCCCTATCACAGGCTCTGAGCATCCGGGAAACCTGGCAGGAGGGGTGGGGTTGTGTAGGGGTGAGATAAAGGAGAGGAACTACACAGAGTAAGTCCCCTACATACTGAGGACCATGGGTAACTGCTCTAACTACAGGGAAATGGATTCCTTAGGGGCCTGGTTTGTGGTCTGATCTCCAAATTGGGGACACATGTGTCCAGTTTAGCCTGGGTTCTTGCACTTTCCTCAGCATATTATGTGACTCTATCATTCTTTACTCTTTGCTACCTAATAAAAAGACCTTAGCCAGTGGCTTGGGAGGCTGAGATAGGAGGATTGCAAGTTCAAAGCCAGCCTCAGCAATGGGGAGATGCTAAACAACTCAATAAGACCCTGTCTCTGTATGAAACTACAAAATAGGGCTGGGGATGTGACTCATTGATTGACTGCCCCTAGTTCAATTCCTGGTACCAAAAAAAAAAAAAAGACATTAGTTTTCAAATTTTGCTGCATAGTGTAATCACCTGGGAAGCTTTTAAACCATCCAGACCTAGAGAATCAGAACATGCCTTATACCTAGATCACCAGGTGACTATTAGTACATTAATTTTTGGCAAGGTCTACTTTAAGGGGCATACTATTTTGTGGGAGGAGGACACTGGAGGTTGAACCCAGGGATGGTCTACCACTGAGCTACATCCCCAGTTCTTCTTATTTTATTTTGAGACAGTCCCACAAAGTTGCCCAGACTGATCTTAAATTTGCAATCCTCTTGCCTCAACTCCCAGTTGCTGGGATTACAGGCAGGCACCACAGCACCCAGCAAGAGGCATACTATTACTATTTTTCCAATGAAAGCTCAAAGAAGTTAAGTAACCCATCCAAGGTCACATCATGCCATTAACCTTGAACAGAGAATCCAGTCACAGGCCCGCCTGACTCCAAAGCCCAAGTCATTCCTATGACGGTCATTTGTCGAGTGCCTGAAGAAGCAGGACCAGCTGAAGGAAAATCAACATGCTTCCAGCAAAGAGAAAAATCACATCTGACTAATGATCTCGGAAAACTGTTCTTTCAAACTGGGACAAAATAGTTTATTACAGCACATAGAAAGCCAGTGACCAGAACTCTGGATGTTAAAATGCTCCTGGCAAGGTTGTATTCAGAGGCTAAGTTACATAGGGAGTGAGGAGACCAATAAAGGAAAGTGCTTCTTCATAAAGGGACCGTGGATCAGGGAAAATAAACAGAAATAAACAAGCATTTCTCTAGACGGAAAAATGCTCAAGTGTTAGAGGATAGGACAGATCTGTCGGAAATTGTGCAAGAGAGTGCACCCAACACCACAGATGATTTGGTAAACTACCAGAGAATTTCCAGACCACGTGAGCTGACCTAAATAAATAAATAAATATAAATAAAAAGGAGGGCTGGGGATGTGGCTCAGGTGGTAGCGCGCTCGCCTAGCATGCGTGCGGCCGGAGTTCGATCCTCAGCACCACATACAAACAAAGATGTTGTGTCCGCCAATAACTAAAAAATAAATAATAAAAAAATTATAAAAAAGGACAGGTGAGCTTCAGTTACAGTTTTACATTTTTGGGGGAAAAAGATCCTAACTGTACTCATTAAATGATAACTGTGCACAATGAGACAGAAAAAAGGGGGGCAGGGTGAGAAGGAGGGAGTGATTCTCTGCTGTTGCCAGACCCTGGCTTAATATGCTGCCACAGTGAAGACCCAGTAGCACCAGGCCAGGTGTCATCATGAAGGCTTTTCTGTGACAAGACAAAAAACATTATTCCCTTATAGAGAACAATGATACAGCTGAATCTGGAGCACTGTGTATAGTCCCTTACTGCCTCTCTAGAGAGAAGATCCAGAGAAGGGCAGCGAGGTTCTCCCAGGGCTATTATAAGAGACTAAAAAACAGAACTCTGCAGCCCGAAAAGACAAAGAAAGGTTAAGAGGACAGGCCTGGAAAATCACACATCAAAATGGGTGTGAGAAGGAAAGTTCCAGAGTTTTCCAATCAGTTTTAGTGCACAGAATAAAAACTTAATACTTTGAGTTTTGAAAGCAGCAGTTATTAGAAGAAATAAAGGGAAGTTTTACTGTTTGTTGAAGGCAACGAATGTACAAAATTTGTTATCTCAGGAGTTGGTACTAGAATAAATACTCAACAGTTTATTCAGAGATTCTAGGGAC